GCCAGTACTAAAACATCCTTAGAATTTCTAAATATTGTAGTTGACAATTTCCTAACTCACAAAGCATTGCAACCAACACAGGGGAATTCTATATTAGACCTACTCCTGACAGATTAACAGGAACTGATCACAGAACTAATGTTAGGTACAAGTGATCATGACTTGAACACATTTACAATGTACAAACAGAATCAAGTCCAGACCAGTAGTGTATACACAGCGTGCTTGACAAGGGCCAGTTTCACAAAGCTGAAAACAATTATGAGCTAAATCAGTTGGGAGGACAACTTTAATCAGACACATGTAAATGCAATTGGGAATTGTTTAAGAACACTTTACTAGATGTTCAAAAAGCCACAATCCCCAAGGAAGGCTGGATTGGTTAAAAAAAAACCTACAACAACCTGGGTTTAGAGGGGAAGTAGAGGCAGCTATAATATAAACACAAAAGGGGAACTTGGTAATATAAATCAAAAGCTAGGAATTATAGAAAATTGATAAGGAAAGCAAAGGTACTCAAGGAGAAATCTAGGGCTAGCAACGTTAACAACAATAAGGAGGAGGTGTTTTTTTTTTAAGTAAACAAAAAGAATCCTGACAATGGATTCTTTATGAGATGGCACTGGTAGAATTATCAACAATAATACAGAACAGGTAGAAGAAGCTTATTTCTACCAGCTTAGGTTAAAAACTTCCCCAAGGCACAAATTCTTCCTTGTCCTTGGAACGGTATCGCTGCCACCACCAAATGAGTTAGACAAAGATTTAGGAAAAGGACCACTTGGAGTTCCTGTTTCCCCAAAATATCCCCCCAAGCTCCTTCACCCCCTTTCCTCGCAAGGCTTGAGAGTAAACAAGGTGAGCACAGACCAGACCCTTGGGTTTTTAGGACACTAAAAACCCCAATCAGAGTCTTAAAAACATAACTTCTATTATAAATAAAAAAAAGTAAAAGAAACACCTCTGTAAAATCAGGATGGAAGATAATTTTACAGGGTAATAAGATTTAAAAACAGAGGATTCCCCTCTAAGCAAAACTTTAAAGTTACAAAGAAACAGGAATAAACCTTCCTCTTAGCATAGGGCGAATTCACAAGCTAAATCAAAACATACTCTAATACATTTCCTTGCTATTACTTACTATTTCTGTAATTTTAGATGTATCATTCAGTAGAAGCTGGATTACTTGCTTGCTCTCTCTGTCTCCGGAGAGAACAACAAAAGCCCAAACAAAAACCTTCCCCCCCACCCCAGATTTGAAAATATCTTCTTTCCCCATTGGTCTGTCTGGTCAGGTGCCAACTAGGTTAATGGAACTGATTAACGCTTTACAGGTAAAGGAGGGATTTTATGCTACCCTTAGCTGTATGTTTATAACACCTTCCAAGGGGAGCAGCGGGGGGCAAAAAAAAAACAAAACAAAAAACAAAAACCTAATTGGCTTCAAGACTGAGCTTGGTAAATGTACAGAGGGAATGGTACAATGAGACAATGGCATGTGTCCCATCTACAGCTACTAATAGTGAATATCACCAATGGCTGGTGGTGAGACGCTAGATCAGGAAGGGTCTGAGTTACTACAGAGAATTCTTTCCCAGGTGTTTGGTTGGTGGGTCTTGCCCACATGCTCCGGGTATAACTGATCCCCATATTTGGGGTCAAGAAAAATTTTTCCATGAGTCAGACTGGCAGAGCCTATGTGGGGATTTTCACCTTCCTCTGTGACAGCTTGGCATCCCCATATTCACCACTGTAATATTATATGTTTGGTACAAAGTATGCCTTGTGAGGTATCATTCTAAAAGTCCTGAGCTGCTAAACATTAATAGCTTGTTGGATTGTGTGTGCTGTCATTGTATGTGAAGTCATGAAGTTTTGGTATGTATATGTCACTGAAAGATGCTGTGAAGTTGGAAACACCCACAACTAGCCTTTCAGGTACAACAATGAAGAAGCTAGACAGTGCTAACGGCCCATCAATAAGGACAGGTTTCAGAGTAACAGCCGTGTTAGTCTGTATTCGCAAAAAGAAAAGGAGTACTTGTGGCACCTTAGAGACTAACCAATTTATTTGAGCATGAGCTTTCGTGAGCTACAGCTCACTTCATCGGATGCATCCGATGAAGTGAGCTGTAGCTCACGAAAGCTCATGCTCAAATAAATTGGTTAGTCTCTAAGGTGCCACAAGTACTCCTTTTCAATAAGGACAATGGACCATGGAAAAGGTTTGGCCTCACCTGGGAATATTTCAGCCAGCCTATGAATAATGGCTGCTGTGACTCAGCGATACCAAACTCCATTTTGGTACCTGTACTTTTCCATGAACTGGGCTGGATGCCTGGCTTGGAACAAAGGGGTTCTTGCCATATGGAAAAACTATGTAAGGGGGAAGTGACTTCATGACTGGAAACAACACCAGAGGAACAAAGACTGAACTGGTGAGAGGGTCCCAGGTGGGAAAGAAGCCCTGCCTGTGTAAGGAAGCTAAAACTTGCTTATCTCATCAGTCAGGATGAGCTACTGCTGATTCAAATCCTATCTGGGATTGCAATTTTGTTTAATTTCCTAGATAACCTGCTTTGATCTGTTTGCTATCACTTATCGCTTAAAATATATGTCTGGGTATGTCTTCACTACCCACCAGATTGGCAGGCAGCTATTGATCCAGCGGGGATTGATTTATTGCATCTAGTCTAGACACGATAAATCGACCCCCAAGCACTCTCCCACCAACTCCTGTACTCCAGTGCCACGAGAGGCACAGGTGGAGTCGATGGGGGGAGCAGCAGCAGTCGACTCACCATGGTGGAGACACCACAGTAAGTCAATCCAAGTACGTCAACTTCAGCTACGTTATTCACGTAGCTGAAGTTGCATAACTTAGATCGATTCCCCCCCCCCAGTGTAGACCAGTGCTAAGTAGTTAATAAACTTGTTTTATCTTAACTAGCATGTTATTGAATGAAGCGTTAGAGAATCTTAGCTCTGGTAACAAAGGCTGTTGTATATCTTCCCCACATCAAGGGGGAAGCAGACTATTGAATGAGCTTGCAGCATACAGACCCCTATGCAGTGCACGATGGTATAATTCTGGGTTTATACTTCAGTAGGGGAGCAAGGCTGAGGAGCTGGGAAATTGGCTGGTGCCTCTATTGTTGGTCCATGAGTGACTTAGGTAAAGCACTCAGTTGGGCGTGTGGCAGCACCTGCTGTTGTGTTGGATGATAACAGGGCCCGGAGAAGGCTGGCTCTGAGTCACCAGCAGAGCCGTGTGTGAGAGGACAGCCTAGCTGAATGGTTTGGGGGCACAGCAGTTCCAACAGCTTCCATGCTTCACTCCGGGGGTGACAACCCGTCACAGTCTGCATGGATCATTTGTTGGCTTAAACTAGAGTAAAGGGTGGTTTCTCTGTAATCTGAAGTCTTTAAATCATGATTTGAGGACTTCAGTAACTCTGTGAGAGGTTATGGATCTATTACAGAAGTGGGTGGGGAGGTTCTGTGGCCTGGAATGCCCAGGTGGGCAGATTAGTCAAAAGGACTAATGTGATCCATAGATGCACAAATTGGGGAATCTTAAGTAGGAGTGGAGAGGTTATTTTACCTCTATATTTGGCACTACTGTAACTGCTCCTGGAGTACTGTATCCCGTTCCAGTGTCCACAATTCAAGAAGGATTTTGATAAACTGGAGAAAATTGTGCCACAAAAATGATTAAAGATTTAGAAAACATGCCTTGTAGTGACAGACTCAAGGAGCTTACTCTATGTAGCAAACAAAAGATTAAGGGGTGACTTGACTGAAGTCTCTAAGTATCTAAATTGGGAACAAATATTTAATAATGGGCCTCCCACAGTAAAACAATCCCCATTCAATTTATCAGATAAAGGTATAACACAATCCAATAGCTAGAAGTTGAAGCTATAGACAGGTTCAGACTGGAAATAAGGCATACAGTTTGCAAAGTGAGAGCAACTAACCCCTGGAACAATTTACCAAGGGTTATGGTAGGTTCTCCATTAAATTTTTAAATCAAGATTGGATGTTTTTCTAAAAGATCTGCTCTAGGTATTATTTTGGAGAAGTTCTATGACCTGTTATACAGGAGATCAGACTGGATGATCACAACGGTTCCTTCAGGCCTCGGAATCTATATTCACATATCAAAAGAACAGCACTGGCTGTAAGAAAGCAGAACTTAAGTCAGTCGGGGGGGGGGGGGGGAAAACACAGGAGTACAGAAGCATTTTTTTTTTTTAATTTTCACACTTAAAACAGTTTTACAAACACTAGAGATCATAAAACAAAACCCTTAAGAGGCTCAACCCTGTCCTTTTCATTAAATCACAGTCAAGCCAGCTGGTGTTATTTGGAGCAAGTGCTTTTCCATTAGTGACACCTATAGGTTTAAGTTGTAAGTGTATCATGAAACACCTAAGCCATACACTTGTACAAAAACTGTAAGGCAACAATACTATTGGAAAAACAAGCTATAGCCGCACTATATTAAAATAGGGGTTTTTTTTAAAATCTGGGTTTCTAGTCTTTGTAAACATGATAGTGTAACTTATCAATGAGACCTACTCTTTAAACGTTCTATGAAGAGGAAAAACTCAGATGCTATTTTCAAACTGGGACAAGTTTCAGAGGAACAGCCGTGTTAGTCTGTATTCGCAAAAAGAAAAGGAGTACTTGTGGCACCTTAGAGACTAACCAATTTATTTGAGCATGAGCTTTCGTGAGCCACAGCTCACTTCATCAGATGTGATGAAGTGAGCTGTGGCTCACGAAAGCTCATGCTCAAATAAATTGATTAGTCTCTAAGGTGCCACAAGTACTCCTTTTCTTTTTGCGAAACTGGGACAAAACACTCATTTTGTAAAATTGAAACCATACAAAAAGTTAAACGTTTTCTACTAGATGTTGTATAATACAGAGAGAGCTGCTTTCACATCAAGAAGTTTAAAAAGGAGGTTTAACTCAAATATGAGCACAGCTAATAAAAAAAATAAAACCAATGAGACTTTAATAAAAACATCAAACATAAATGAAAGAGTGCCCTTGGAATAAGCATCCTTAGACATGGGTTCTTCACAGATTGTTAATGGATAACCATATATGCTCCTATCCATTATGTACATTGCTGTTCTTGGCAGACATGCCACAGGGTGCTTTTGCCATGAATATACATGACTTCCACACTGGCATCTGTCTGTTCTCGAAAATTACAGGAATTTGAGGGAGAAGGGTGAGGGAGAGGTTTGCTCATAATACTGAGCTATTTTGATGGTGGCAATTCCTCTTTTCCACCCAACATATTTCAAAGACATGTTAATATGTTGTACACTAGTCTTTGCAGACATCTGATCATCATACAGAAAGTCAGGTGCTTATGGCTCATTCTGTATTTAATAAGACAACAAGGTTTATATAGTATGCAAAGTCATGTCACCAAAACAAAATGGCACTGTATTTTCAAATAAATCCCCTTGCAAGATCCTGTCCTTTTCCAGACCTCTCAATCCTGCCTCTGCCAATGTCTGGAGGCAAAGGGGTTGAGTCAGCCAGGCACCCTATGGTAGTTATTTACACGTGGTAAGTGGGAGTAAAATGCTACCAGATCAGACTGGTAACAATTTACACACACTCTGCAGATATCTGACCACACAAGATGGAAAGCACTGGAGAATCAGGCTGAAGAGTTTGGTCACTTATTCTCTCGGACACTGCGTGCTGCAATATTGACTCCAATAGCAAAGACAGGATGGAACATTACATTTTTTTTTTAAATAGGATATTTAAAAAGCAAATTTAAAATAAAAAAATTAAGCTCCTCTTTAAACGACCATTTCAAAACTTTAAGCCAGTCTATTTTACAGTGATCTTTAGTGTGTGTCTTCCCCTTCCATCACATTCTCTATGCCTGCTGATTATTGCTCTCATTGGGCTTAGCTTCCTCTTCACCCTGATTTTTGTCTTCTGGTTTCACTTCTTTAGTGTCCTCTTCTGCCAGTTTTATTTCTTCCAACTTCTCCCCTTGGGAAGCACTCAACAGGTTTTGCTGCCCCAGCTCCTCCTTGTTGCTCTTCACCACCTCTTGTAGATTATATTTTCTGAACAAAACATAGTCTTTCACCACGCTCAAGCAACAGACATTTTTTATTATTTCTACCACAATGGTATACTGGGGGTTATTAAGATCCACTTTGTTTTCTGGATTTAGGCTGCCCACTATTCCTACAAAATAAAAGGAAACGGTCTTAGAATCAGTAGGGAAACTGGAGGAATGTTTTTCATAGAGAAGAGTGTAAATGTGGTGTTGCGTTCATCAGTTGAGCCCTCACTTAAAGTGCAAGGACTTTTAATCAGACAAGTTCTAAAAAAATACCACAAATCAGAGAGAGGGGATAAACTTACTGCCAAACAATGAGAGAAACCAGCTATTGTAGCAACAAGCCAAAATAAGCACCAATTTCACAAAAACACGGTTTCAAAAAATATTCCGAATACTTGGTTCAGGAACTAAAATCTCAGAACACAAGCTGCACCACAAGGCAGGGGGAAACAAGGCACCTTCCTTTAGCTATGGCAGCTGCAATCAAGAATTTTCAGTCACTGAATTGGTCAAATAGGCAGGACAGACTGGGACTCTTAGAAACACTCTCTCGAACCAAAGGACTATTCCACAGTAACTCTCAAGGAGAAAACTGCCAAGTGAACTTAGAGTTATTTCATTAAGGCCACATCTACACTACAAAATTAAGAAGTTGACCTGGTTTATGCCAGCATACAGCTGCCACTGTAATTACATTGCTTGTGCATGTCTGCACTTCGCTCCTTGTTTTGGTGGCACATGTCCTTACCAGGAGTGGTCGTATCGATTGTTCTGTCAGTGTGAGGCATTGTGGGACAGCTCCTGAAAGCCAGTAATAGTCGACATAAGCAAAGCAGTGTCTACACTGACACTGCATCCACCTAACTACATCAATCTTGACTCTGCAATGCTTATGGAGGTGCAGTTATTAAGTCAGCATAGTGGTGCAGTTATGTTAATGGGAGTGAAATTCAAGTGTAGGCATTTCTATAGTTAGGTAGATGTAAGCAGTCTTGCGTTGACCTAACTCTGTCGTGCAGACCAGATCTAAGTCACAGTCTATTGGGAAATGGCTCGATGGTGTTTCCCTATAATGTTCAGTATTCAAAGAATTTTTAGTACAATCCTGGAAGTTTGCAGGAATGGTATTGTCACAGTGAGTTATAGCCAACAAAGTTGGACCGCACACTCTTCTGGTTTATGATTTGTTAAAATGAAAACCTATGATATCAGAAAAGAGTGTTGTTAATGCCAGGTTATTTTCACAGAGCTTAAGGAAAAAAAAAAAACTTGAAAGACTTTCATAATTCAATATGCTTGAGTTTGCTATAACGCAACATTTATGTCTACTAAAAATATTTTGCTTGAATAATTTGACCTATGTTACACATGCAGTCTTAGGTAGTTTATACACTTGTCTACAATCATGCTATGTCAGATAAGTACATACCTGCCAATTCTTTGATTACTTCTTCCCTACTCATGTGACTGTTATTGCGAGCTTTGTAAACAATCTGAAAAGTACCCTTATTAGGGGCTTTAAACCAAGGCTCAAAGAAGGTCTCTGAATACTTTTTCATATCTTCCATAAAAGCCTTGCAGGTTCCAGAAATGGGCAACATGCGCAGAATAACTCTTGTTTTCTTCTTTTTAGTAGTGTGCAAGTCCATTAATATATGATGCACGAGCTTCTCAGGTTCTACGAGACAAGACAACAGAGTAAGAGCAACAAATGGAAAGAATTTCCTTTTAAAAAAGCAATACAGAATCCAATTTTATTTGCTTACAAGTACAAAGAAATTGAATCATCAAATTCTACAGCACCCTACTAAATGCTATGGAGTTCTTACAAAAGGGTATGGAGTTTGAAAGTATAGAGAGCAGATTATTTCCACAATTCTGGCTTGTAAAGCACACGAGAGAGTACCCACAAGGTGCAACACTGGAGGTCTACTTCTGCAGTTTTTTACTCAGGCAAGAGGAGTTTTGCCTGAACAAGGATTAAAAGATCAGACCCTACTCACGTCTACTGGATTGTCAATACACTGGATGTTCTTCCAGCTCGCATTTGTTATTTCACAAACAAGGCTGGGGATCTAGGAACATCAGCCTTTTTGCATGCTTTCCAAGGTCAGCAAAATACCAAGCCCTTTTACGTTTAGAAGGGTCAGATAGATTCTGCTTGGACAAAATAACTATCTGGCTGTAGTCACTAGAGTGTTCAGTGGGAAAGAGGAAGGCTGCATGAACATTCAGCATGCTTCATTTCTTTGGCAGTCAAACCATGACACAGTCTAACAAACTGCAAAGCAGCTGTTTGTGTTGCGTTATGCAGCAATTATTTCATTACACACCTACACCCAGCGTTCTAATAAAAACCACATTGTTAGCTCCACTCTCCACTGACTGGAATCTTCTCAGCTTCTGTTCATTCGAAGTGCGAATCTGATCAACTTCTTTCTTTAAGGCAGCTTCAACATCATCTTCCTCCTCTTCACTTCCTGACAACCTGTCATCTTGATTTGTAAACTGTTGAAACAAGAGGCTGCATCTTAAATGAGATGTTAGTGAAGGGTTAAGAAATCACATCTAATGCTTAATAAATGAAAGCCACAACAACCACTATACCCATGGCATAAAAAAGCCAGAATTCAAGCAGTGACACTGCAGACAATTAATAAGCAGTGAGACATTTTAGGTCAGGCACACTGGGTTAAGACAAACACCAGAAGTTATTGCAGTGGGAATCAGCATTTCATTTTCTCAATCTCTGTAGTGATTTAATTTTAAAGCATGTTATATAAAATTTGTCTCTTGCACCATTAGGTAACAGATATTCATCTGCTGGATGATCAATCATCTTTAAAACAAAAACAAAACAAAAAAGCCTCATCACCAGTTTAGAAAGCAAACTTTTCAACATTATTACCCACAGCAATTTATAAATGGGAGCAGCAAGTAATAGGCAAATCTTAGACCTGGTCTATACTAGGAAATTAGGTTGGTATAACTACATCGCTCAGGGGTGAAACTGACCTAGCCCCCAGTGTAGACAGCACTAGGTCAATGGGAGAATTCTCCCATCAACCCCGCTACCGCTTCACAGGGAGGTGAAGTACCTACGCCAACAGGAGAAGCTCTCCTGTTGGCACAGGTAGCATCTTCAGCGAAGCATTAAGTGTGGACAAGCCCTTAAGTCTGTAAGCAAAAACTTAGAAAGACAGACAGGCCAGTTAACTCCAATTAACCAGAAGGAGTTATTAAACCAAGTGTGTATCCATCCACTGCAAGGAGCACTTATATTGAATTTTAAAGTGCTTTTAAAGAGAGTGTTCTCCTGTGGCACTTGAACAACAACAAAACATTTAGATGGCCTATTTAACATTAGTTCACTTCTTGCGCTAAAATATCCACAAACCAGAACATTAACATGCTGCCTTTTTTGAGGCTTAATATTATTATTATTATTTTGGACAGGAGAGATGCCCAAATTATCCAGAACTACCATTCTAGGGCATCCTCTAAGGACCCCAGATCTTGGCAGTGGCCGAGATGACAGCAGAGCGCAGGAACCACAGCCAATCCCAGGCCTCTGCTGGTGTGGGGTTCGCTTTGGTGCCTGCCACAAATAAGCTGCTTACAGATGACTCCGTCGCCACAGGAGACTGTGAGCTCCTCGGGGCATGGACTACCTTTTTTGGTGTTTGCCCGCTTGGTGCCCAAGTATCTAGTGGGGGGTCCCTAAGTGCCACGCTCCTAATCTGGCTCCCTCACAGGTACCTCTAGCCCCCTGGTGCAGCAGCACAAAACCGCGACCCCCCTAGAGGGGACCATGCGAGGCCCCCTGCAGAACGCCCAGGGCACAGAGGCCGGCCGGCGGGGCCGCTGCTGGCCGCACGCACCTTCTCGGGCCCGTAGAGCAGGTCCCCATACTCGTTGAGCAGGCTGTAGGCCTCCCCCACGCACTTGCGCTCGTTCATGTTGCAGGTGATGAGGATGCCCTGCATGCCGAGCTCCAGCTGCCGCGGCCCCCCGCCGCCGCCCCGGGGCCGCTTGGCCTGCTGCCCCGACACGTACTGCGCCTTGTGCCGCCGCTTCATCGCCGCAGCCGGCTGCTCCGAGGCGGCCATGGGGGCAGCTGAGCCGCGAGCCCGGACTCCACGCGGGCGCCAAAACGACGCGTTACCTCGCCGACGTGCGCCGCGGGGCGACGACGTCACAGCCGCGCGACGGAAAGGCGGCTCTTCCCAGTCGGTCCCAAGGGCTTTCCGGGTCCTAAAGCCCGCCGGGTACAGGGGCTCTGCCGGGTCCTAAAGTCAGCGTGCTGCTCGCGAGCCCGTGCAGGGAAGCGAGGCCTGGAAAGGAGCCTGCCAGCTTGGGGAGAGGCGCGCCCCAGGAGCTGGCCTTTGTGCCACCGCCTTGGCTCTCGCGGGCCGGGCCCTGCGTGCGTGGGACTGGGGCGAGACCCCAGTTTGTAGCCGACGCTGCAGTGTGTTGTGACGTTTGGCAGAGAGCGGCCATGGGGGGAAAGGGGGAGCGGTGTAGGTAGCCACAGCCGCACAAAGGTGAGCCGGCGCTGGCTGTGCTCACCCCGTTTCTGACTCTAGTGCCTTTACCAGCCCTTATTTATCTGTTGTCCTAAAGCATTACCCCCACCCAAGCAAAGCACGTGGACGAGACTGTCGGTTTGGTTTATCCTACAACTTTAGGTGACTTTGGGTCAGGGACCGCGTGTTTCATTGTTCTACAGAGGAGAAATTGCCAACTCCCACACTCAGAAATTGCGTCAGGTCTCAAAAATCCTGAGTTTCCCCCTCAAAATAGTATTTTTGGGGGAAAGGATGCAATACTCCCCAGAGGTACACAAGCTTGTGAAGAACCTCATCACCATCTGCCTGCAGCATGAAGCAGTTTTGCCGCATATTTGCTGTACCTCAGCTCCCTGAAACCAACAGCCTCTGGCCACAGATAAACACTGACTTAACTTCCTGGTTTCTGTAGACCTCATCTTTGCGATATAGGATAGTAATAAACACACCTCAACCTCCAGCCCCTTTGCCAGAGTCTCCGTCAGTCGTATCCCACCCGTGTCACTGGACACGTAGAAATAACCAGGTAAGCTGTCTCCGAAGGGACAGAGTACACACAGCTTGACTGGCACAGCTCAGGATCCAATCCTTTATAAGGACACAACCCTGTAATCTATTTATAGTGAAAACAAGTATGTTTCTTAACAAAGGTTAAGATTTTAGGAGCAAGTAAGGATAGTAAGAACAACAGGTTATTTATTAAACAAAAAGTATAACACGCTGAGAGTCTAAACTTACTTTAACAGGCTAAAATCCTTGTCTAAAACAGCTTCTCAACTAAAGTCACGTCCCAGCGACTTTCATGTGTGCAGAAAGCACTGTCCTTGTAACAGTCTTTATAGATAAATACTATGACAGCAAAGTGTTAGGTGTAGTGAGTTTGTCAGGCCTAACAGGAGTTGCTCTTACTGAACAGTGAACCCTTTGGCAGTTGGCACTGAGGAGTTCTTAAAGTCACAGAGAGAATTTGCCTTCTGATTTCTTAGCCTTTAGAGTGCATGCATGTCACATTTTCAAGCTTTTCTCTGCCACCATGGAGACTAGAAACTCACGTTAAAAAAAACAACAAAGCTGAGATTCTGAAGTAATCACTAGACTCCAGGAGCTAGGGATTTCAGAAAAATATTAAATATCAAGATGCTCAAAACAGAATTGTGGCAGTTGGCAATACTGCCTAACTGTAGTGTGTCGAGCACAACGAAGCCACGCTCCCTGACTGGAGCCTGTATACACTGTAGCAGCACAAGTAGTAAATATCATCATCATCATAATAATAGACCTGGATTCTCTAGGCTTTAGGCTAAACTTATATACACAAGCAAGAGTCTGTTGTAAAAAAACCCCAAGAACCCTTCTCTTATTGATATGGAAAGTATTAGGAGAGAAACTGGTCTTTAAAATACTGATTGATCTGAACTGTTAATAGCTCGGTCTGAATGTAAAATACTTTATCCCACTACAGTGATCTGAAGACAAAGTGAATTGGAGTTTTGATAGATTGGAATCTTGTTGATTTATGCTTTTGTAGAACTTTGGCTCTCAGAATTAAAGGTCCAGAATTGGAGTTAATAAATTGCAGAATATAAAGAGATGCTAACTTGGGGCCTGATCCAAAGCCCATTGAAGTAAATGGAAAGATTCCCAATTGTGCCCCATTGTACAATCCATATTTTAAAGGCACTTACAAGTAGCCCCATACTACTCCGTGTAAAAATTGCAGAATCATGCTCTTGGTTTGGAATGTATCCATATTTTCCTAATTAATCATTTAAAACATTACTAATTTACATTTACAGAGCGGAAAAATAGGCTTTCTCTATGGTACAGGTACTTTTGGGTATAAAATAAAGGCCATCCCTTGTCAGAAGAACCAGATGAACTGTATGATATTTGTGATCGGTTAGGATTGCAGGAACAAGGCCTTAACATGATTCAGCTGTCAAAATACTGCTATTGCAAAGATTTCAAATGTGCTTAATTTTAAGCATGTGAGTAATCCCCGTGAAGGCAACCAGACTACTCATAGTGCATAAAGTAAAGCAGGCATATATAAGTGTTTGCAGGAGGGGTTTTTAATAAAGGAACCACTTCAGTCTGTATTGAAATGCAGCAGCCAGCTACCTGTGAAGTGAATGGTGATAGATGTCTTCTTAGAGCACATAGTAACATTACAAAACAGTTGAAAAACATGAAGCAAAGAATAATTTCTCCAGATGCTGCTGCTTGGTGAGTTTTAGGTAGCAGACTTTAATAAGGACACTGGGATTCAGGGCTCTACTCTTGTGAAAAGTGCCATGAGATTTCTAAATGACAACATGTACCCCGAAAACCAGCTTTATGCCTCATCTAAAAGAATGATGCACAAAAACAATTTAAAAGAGATTAGGTTGTCATGTTGTCAAAAAAACAAAAAGTTTCTCCATCATTTTCTATTAACTTTCATGCATCCTTTGTGGCAATTTAGAAAGCTTTTCTGCCTCCTCTGTTGAAGGATTTTTCTGTGTATATTTCAGAGACATTTAAAATCTCACTCATGCAGACCTGCTGCATGTCTCACTAACTGTTAGGGAGAGAGCAACTACCTTTTTTGGGGGAATCCTTCTAGAGCCCTTTCTTAATTATAGAATATCAGGGTTAGAAGGGACCTCAGGAGATCATCTAGTCCAACCCCCTGCTCAAAGCAGGACCAATCCCCAATTTTTTCTTTTTGATTCTGTGGAGGTTTCCATGTGACAGTTAACATCAATTCTCCCCAGTGCAGGTTGCCCAAGTCTGGCATGGTCAAAAAGCTCACAGCAGGGCAGCTGATAGTTCTTGTGGAGAAAGCACACGACATAAATGCTAAAATGCATAAAAGCGACATCGGTTTTCTTTCCCTGCATCCCGCAACCACAGAATCAGTTGATCCAAATATTTCTGATGAGCGTTTCTGCAAATTTCCTGCTGGTCCCAGGCCCCAGAGCCACCGCTTGGGGGCTGTGGGTTGATCATCCAGCAGCAGGAGGAGTTTACGAAACCTGTGCACTCCCTGGGGCTGGAGTGAGAGGCTGTGAGTGCACCAAGCAGATCAGAGAGGGTGTGCCTTGGCTCTTAGCTGTGCTTTATCAGTGCACAGCCTCGGGAGTTGGGGCGGAGGGGGGGAGGGAACAGGATATCCTGCACTTTCCACCTTGCTTCGGAGTTGTGCAGAAAAACATCAGCTTCTTTCCTGTGAGTGCAGGATTTGGCAGCCCTTTGTGTGAGTCTGGAGCATTCTTGCCACGCTCAGTGTTAGCAGCGCGCTGTTACCCGTGTGTCTCTGAGGGACACGGTGCATAGCAGGGACCCTAGTACTGGTGCACTAGGCTCAGTAACGCAGTGCAGACAGTAGGACACTGTGAGTGATGTTGTGGGAGTCATTACTTTAGCACAGTCAGTGTGGTCTATTACATTAAATCTAGTTAAGGGCTGATGTGGTCTAGTTAAGGTTTCTGATGGAGATCAGCTAGGACAGCTCTGAGAGGCCCCCCCCAACTGTGCGAGGCAGTGGGGCATTTGGGTCTGAAATGACAGGTGTCTTTTATAAGGAGGATGATTGAAAGAGGTGCAGATCAGGTTTGGTGCTGGGGATGGCAAAGGGGGACTGAACCCCCTGGGCAGCTGCCAGGGACATTTTTGGTATAGTGCCAATATTAGTTTTCCTCTCATCTGTGTTTCTCTGCCTCGCTCATGTCAGTCGTCCTTTTCCGGCTTTCCCTCTTTTATGTAGGTGAGTCTCTCCTGGGTCTCTTTATAGCTCACGTGGAGATTGAATGCCACAGATCAGTTTTGTCCCCAAACCACCTCCTTTTCCTTAGTTGGTGCCTGTTTACTCAGTACAAATATCATTGAACAAACTCGGCTTTGCATAGTGTGTTTAACTGTTGGGTAAATATTTATCCAATTAGAAGCTTCCAACCTTTACAGATTTATTGCTAGGTTTTGCTCTTTGGATGTGGGCGAGTCCTTCACGTTGGATCGATTATCAGGAAGTTTTTAAATCTTCTCCCTCTTGTGAGGATTAATTTTGCTGCATGTGTTTCAAGGAGACATTTAAAATCTCCTTGCTTGACATCTCTGCTGGCCTCATTGAGGAGTTGTGTCCATCAGAAGTATGGCCAAAGGTTATTAGGCTGCACCTGGCAATGCTGCTCCTTGCAGAATATAGACGAGTTACTCAACATATTGCTGTACCAGGTAACATTCTGGCTAGGCGGTAACTCACACAAGACTGTTGGTGCACTCTGCAGAACAATGTGTTCCCTGCTATTTTTTAATCGTTTACATTCTGGCTTTGCATTGTCTATTGTTTATTAAGATTGCACTCAGCCAAAAGCCATGGTTAATGTGACTGGACTGTAAAGTATGTTCATGCATTTGCAAGAGTATAGCAATACTAGTGCCTCTCGATTATACATTGCAACTTAGCAGCTGGAGTATTTTTTTAAATGTGAATATTAATGCACGTGAACAGTGCCACATTGACAGCTCTGGAGATTAAAGTTTCAGTGCACAAGGGATGCAGAATCAGGTCCCAATTGCGTATTCACTAATGAATATAAATGACTCCTAG